TCTAAACCAAGAATAAAGCCTGTGCTTTGCGTAGTCTGGCTAATGTTAACAGAATTACCTGGGGGACAATTTGAGACCGGTCTCTATGCCAAGCGACTTTTAAAGTATCCAACCCCAGAACAGCTCTCAAAGACTCCTAGAATTGCTAAAAGGTATTTTAAAAATTCAAATCAGTGTATTTATTGCTACTCTTTCCAGAATTGATCAGTCAGGCGTTTCCCAGGATGCGGTAGGGAGGTCTGGGACAGAGGCTGCGCGCGTTGGGACAGGACAAGCCAGCTCGGGGATGAGCCGGCGATGCTTCTCTCTCCGCTACAGGAAATAGCAAATGGATAAAATATATTTTCCAAACATTTTCGCTAACAGCTTTATAAATGAACTGTCTCCGTTTGTTGAAACGTATCAGTTAGCTGCTGGTGAGTGTTTGGAACGTGCCTAAGTGTCAAAAAATGTATTTTGACATTAACTTCGTTTCTGGCAGCAAAACCTGGAAACATTTAACATGCTGGAGGCCTTGATGTGTCAAGTCGGTATGCTAACTATGCTGTGGTAGCTTTAAATCACTGCTGAAAAATTACCCTGAGACTGCCTGTTTCAGACAGATGCAATAACAAACAGAGAATTTGCTTACCGGTGTCACTGCAAAGGGCACACAGAGCAGAATACACTAAACCATTTACTGATTACTGCTTTAAACCTTTGGGTGATGTCCCACTTACACTGGAGCCATTAGCCTACTAGGTACTATGCCTTTAGCCATACTCAAGAAATAAAACTCTTGTTACCTGACTTGGAATATGTCCGATGTTAAAGTCCTATCTTATTTTTATCCTGCCTTAAATACCTTAGAACTAGACAAAATAATGAAATTTTAATTTTTAAATGAAGGCACTTTGTCTGTACTCATGATCCCATTACGCTCACTTCCCATGAATATTTGAATCCTACCTGCAGATTTCTGAAAAGGACAGGCTTGCTCCAGACCTGGAAAAAAGATTAAAATTTAAATTCAGAAGGACAAGGCTTTAATCTCCCTCCAGAAAAAAGAGAAAGAGAAAAACTGGGGAGTAAGGAGAAAGAGATCTTGATTTCTGTGCTTCAAAGAGGTAGAAGAGGGAAGCTTTCCAACGCCTGAGGTAAGTGAGTTTGGCTGTGAAGTTTTTAAGTTCTTCCAAGCACTTTGGAGACAGAGAATGAAAACGTGTGCACAAACCTCTCTGCATAAAAGCAAAACTTCGCAAAGCTGGACCAGGGTCTGCTCTTAGGGATGACATGGCAGGAGCCTTCCAGTAGTGCAGAGTCAAGCCCCAGCCTGCTCTGAGAAGGGTCTGACTAGTTCGGTAGTTATGAAAATGAAAAGTATGAATCCTCTTCAAAGGGCCATTCTAGCTTCCAAATAGAGAAATACATAAAATGTGTATGCTTTAGAGATTCAAATCTAAAGAATGTTTTCATTTTCATTCATTAAATCATTCAAAATTTATGATTTTAAAGTAACAAGTACCTGAATTTGCAGGAGAAAAGTAACTACATGCTGCATTATCATTTGAGACACAAATAAATCAACTTTCTGCTTTGTGGGTTGAGAGCAAATTAGAATAAACATCCATTACAAGTCATTATCAAAAAGTAAAAGCTGAAAAAAAAGAAGAAAACCAACTTCATTTGAATCCTTACAACAGCAAAATATTTCTGCTCTGGCCATGGGAGCATTTTCTCTGTTCCAGTAACCCAGAAACCAAAGAAAAGACCTCCGCTCTACCAAAGAGGCCTCCGCTCTACCCTTTCTTCCAGCACTCAGCAGTGAGTGACGAGATGTTAGCTGACTGCAGAAACAGCAATGCATTTCTCTGCTGATGAACTGCATGGGTGGGAAGTGGACGGGCCAACATGCCAGCAAGAAGATCTTGAGGTGACAGCAGCTTCAGGCATGACAAGCGAACTACCCAAGCAACTATTTTAAGATGTTGAGCAATTCCTGTTGCTGGGAGCTGATTTCACTGGGAGTTTCAGCCATTACATTACTGCATGTTAGAGAGTCAGCTTCTTCATCAACTACATATAGCTCTTTTATATAGCTGTGGTTTGATATACAGCCGTTACACATTTTTTTATGCTAAACAGACCAATGATTGGTCTGAAGAGGAGGACTGGGGAGAAGCTCTGTGCACTTTGCTCATTGACTGACATATCTGAAAAGGACTGAAAATGCTCTAAAAAAGCAATTTCTGCCCCATCAGGCATCTTCTGCTGAGAATCCAAGTCACTGCTCACTTTTAAGAAATTGAACTCTAGATTTTTTAAATATGTGGAAGTCACAAAAAGTCGACACTAAAGAATAGTGTGTGGCTATATCTAAAGGGTTGTGCTGCCCTGCAGACACCCTCCATTCATCACCACCACAAATGGTCAACAGGCCAATTCACACCCACTTCCCCATATCCCCGTTTTGCCATTCAGGCTTTTCTGGATAAACCTTCCCTTCTGCAATGTCACTGGATGATAACAGTACCAAAAAAGCATTTCATGGGGTCAGAGTTTAATCCCAAATTGGACTACCGCCACTGTCCATGACTTTGGAATAGTGGAAAAATCAGAATGATGTTTGCAGGCTGTTCTCACACCTCAGTACCTCTGGGTTTCTGGCAGGGTCACTGACATATTCAGAAGCACGAGCAAATCAAAGGACCAGAAGAAGTATTCCAAATATTCACACAGGCCAGCATGGGCTTTCTAACCCAATCATCTTAGGCAATCCCTACACTCAACAAAAGGCCAATATGAATCACCCCCTGGAAGAGTCTTTCTGCCTCCACTGACTATAAAGGCAAGCAAGGAAAAACAGGTTCACTCGGCTGAATTTTGCCCTTCCAAAAGCCCAGGGAAGGGAGTTGCTCAGAGAACGCAAGAAAACAGGGAAAACACAAGAAATGGGAAAAGAAGTAGGAAGCCTTCATTCACTTAAAAGATGGTAGTCACAGCTCCTCCTGAGTACTATTCTTCATTTTCCTCTTCACAGTCACTTGCCAAGCTTCTCGCTGCTATTAATGCTCAATCCCGCTCCTTCTGCGTGTTTAAGGGTCACCGCGGAGTAACAGGTTACAATATGTTTGGCACAATCTGAAGTAGATGGGGGTCACGCTATTAGACTGCCATTTTCTTAGAATTTCAGAACAGCCAGAAATAAAAAAGGTAGCATTTGGGGAAGTTTTCGCCATATGGTTACATGAGCAAATTTTAAACATATGGACTATCAAATGCATCCAAGCTGTGTTAAAGCACAGTTAGTGATCCCTAGTTAGGTATTACATAAGATTTCATAAAGACTAAGGAACTAAATGTCCTTTTAGTCTCCAGTTCAGAGGTACTTCATGCACAAAAGAAAGATTAGAAGCTGCCTCATTTAAAAGGTACCTATTAATTTATTGTCTGGGATTTTGAACAGTCAGTCACTCACTCACCTTTGGGATCTTTTTGTCTTTGGTCCTTGTCCTAAATAATATCAATCTGCTACTAAAGAAATAAATGCTCAAAATATATGTTTAATTTAACTTCATATAGAACATATAGGAGAGTTTGTTTATCCATCCTCTCTTGGAAATGAAAGCTGTCATAGGTGTTGTGGATTATAATACCCCACTGGGAGACAGAAATAAACCTGAATGCAGAAACTTAAATCACAACTTGCAATTTCCTAAAACAAAACAAAAACTGAAAGAAGTGTTGAATCTTCTCTTTTTATAGCAATATTCAATGTAAAAATGACAACTGCAATTCATAACTATGAATAAGAGGTGATAGTAGATCTTTCATAATACCAAAGAATTTGTTATATAAAGCTGTAACATTTTTTCCTCTGAGAATCAAAGTACTTCCTATCGTCTTAAGCATTACAGTGACTCATACAAAGTGATTAGCTTGAAAGTTGAAACTAGTGGGTGCCTTGTAAGAGCAGAAGCCTAGCTCATGTACCGCTATCCCCAATAAAGATGGTCATCTTAACTTATGCAACAGATTTTCACCAAGGCAGCTGCAAACAGTTAGGCTGGCAAAGCAAATTTAATGCCATCTGGACATGGTGAACAACTTCTGTGGGCAAGCCGCAGTGATTTCCAGCACTCCCTTACTCAGAGAAGCTGCTTAGCCTTGACGTTTATACCACTGATTGACTTCAGAAGAAACACATTTTTCCTTTTAGTTTCACCTCTGTTGCTCTCTCTTCAGTTTTGCTTTTGTCCTAGGGCTTGCCTCAATGCCTGGCAGCAGGTGAATGCGTCTTCTGCTACAATAGATATTATCCTTGCCCTTCAGCTCAGCTCAACTCCAAGTGCTTTCTATGATCACTTCCAAAATGTCAGCTACGGTGTTTATGTCAGCACTAGTAAATCAAGGGAGAAAAAAAAATTTGAATTTCTTCTCCAGAACTGCATCTAAGATTCCCTAAGAGCACTACTGAAAATCCAATTCCTCCCCATTGAGGGTTCACAAACCTATTCACAAATCTGACTACGGCAAGTACAACTTTCCTGTGGATATTCTGGATAAAACAGTGATCCCCTTCTGCTTCCTCTCATCAAAATAAAAATAAAAAAGAATACTGCAGAAGGACTAGGGGCAGTGTCATGCTTGGCACTGTATCGGCAGTGATTTAAAATACTAAATGATGGTGGCAGGGCATTCCTACCTTACAGCAGTTTCCTAAGTTTCTCCGAGGGGGTGGCAGGAGTTGGCACACTGTGCCCACAAACAGGCTTGAAGGAGCTAGTTTTCCAAGGGCAGAGCCCCTTTGCAGGCTGAGCAGTGGATTAAAGCATGGATTAAACCATCGCCCTATATCTGCCCTAGGTCCAGAGCTAAAGTTTTTTTTGGCAAATACAGTGCAATTTCTGTCAGGTTATCTTCCCCAGGGAGAACAGCTGGGACTCGCTATACTTCAGCGGACAGTTGCTTTACAAGGCTCATTAACACTTACCGAGAGTGCACTGAAGTTGGGTACTCACCTCCGAAAGACTGTTCATGGACATTTGCAGGCCTTGTGTGACATCCCGCAAGCCCAGACAGCAGCTGAAGCCTGAAGCAGCCCAGCTCGTGGACGCGCTTGGGATCACAACTAAATGCTCCGCAGAGCACTCGGAGAGTGCGAGGAGCGGCGCGGGCAAATCCAGAGCCCTGGGCGAGTCTCACAATGTCGGTCACGAAGGACAAGCAAAGTTCAGAGGCTGCCCCTTTCCCAAGAAAAGCAAAAGCGGAAACTATAAGGAAGGCGGCTCAGGCCACTAAGATAAACATTGAGCAACATTCAAAATAAATAAGGAACAAGAAATCTTGGGAAGCAGTGGCACATCTAAACACTTTGCCATAGCAGGAATAATTTATTAGGAGAAATAGCATAAAGAAACAGTCTGCACGTCCTGCTTTAATTCACCGACAGGAGCCTCCGGGCTCGGCTGGCCCAGCGCGCACTCCCACTCAGAGTTGTCATGGACCAATTTCCGTGCCCCGCACGCTGCACTGGCAAAAAGAGCAGAGACCTCTTCTTCAATGGATCAGAGTCCATTAACGCATCTGGCGCTCTCAGATTATAATCCGCGTCCTGGCTAAATTTAAACTAGTTATTTTGGCTTGCTTATTTAGCCTATTGCTTTCTTATCTATTTCTTCTTACCCATTTTCTGTCTATTCTCCCCACTTGGCTATGTGCCTTCACGGGAGGTTTGGCTGAAGGTCGTGCAGACGGTGAGCGGCCAGGAGCCACGTGCTCGCTTGCAGCCGGTCCCACAGGCTGTTCCCCCGCCAGCAACTTCCAGGAGACTCTGCAACATCCCAGGACAGAGCTGCACACAAACCTCCTCTCCCCTCCACGCAGTCAGCTGCCAGCTTGTATCAAAGTGCAAGCAAAAGATTAATATATGCAAGAGACTTTTTTTTTTTAAGCTAAAAAATATCACAGTCACAATTTTGCAGTTTTTACCCAACAAAGTTTCTCCACTGCTGCAGACTGAGGAAACAAAGTACGGGACGTAATCCTTAGCATGGGAGACTCTCAAAAGTCTGATTTAATCGGAAAGCACGGGAGCTCTTCGTTTGTCAAAACTGGGTCACATTGTTCTAACACAGAAAACACGGACGAGGCAGGGGAGGCATGAAATTTAACACACACACACACAAAAGAGACCTTAATATAAAATAGGTGTACGCAGCTGTTGAATTCCTTGGAAAAGGAGAACCAAAAGGGCAGGTTCCCCTGGGAGCACTTCCTCCAGACCGCCTGATCTATCTGCTACTTCCTAGGAACTGGAAAGCTGTAACCTACTGAGTGTAGTATCATCCTGGTTCGTTACGTTAATGCTTCCACCTTCCGTGATGCAGCAAGATGACCAGGGCGGCTGATGTCCAGCTGCTGACTGACGGCAGCCAAGGGTTCTCCCTCGCCCTGTCTGCTCGTATCCCTCATCTCCCAGCGGATAGCACTTTCTGGACTCTACACTCCTTGAGGCAGTGACTATTTTTGCACGTGCCTACCACAAACGAGGCCCAGCACGGCTGATCCCAGCCGTTAGCACGCAGAGCAGGTTAATAACAATTAGAGGTCGCAGCTGAAACACCCTCAGCCGGATGCCCGGGGCTCCCGGCTGGGCGTGCTCGCTGGGGCACATTGACAGGCAGAAACCAAGCACAAACCAAAAGCTTCATGGCAGGACGAACCGTGTCCCACATTTTCTGAATTTGCTTCATGTTATAAATCACCCATGAAGGTGATAAATGTGTGCACTTAGAACAAAATACGGGCTCTGCGCAACGAGGCTGTTCAGCATAACAAAGCAGCCTAAGGGCCGCTGAGCTAAAATAAGTGTATTGCTCTTACCACCACTTCTCGCGGTCTAGATGAGCACACAGCGGCAGGATTTCCTAACCCACCGCTCCACTTCTGCTTCACCCTGCAACACCTTTCTGCCAGGTTGGCTTGAATAAATGTACAGGCACCGGCGCGCATGGATGGAGCTGTTATATTTGGCGTGCAAGACGTGCCCCGCAAACAGAGGCCACAAAGCTTATTCCAGGCAGTCAGCAACGGTTATCCATCTGTTACGTGGACTCCCTTCACCTCATCACCTGGAAAGCTGCCTTTTCCAGGCAAGATAATCATTGGATTCTGTTTGGTGCTGTTTGATTGCTGTTTTCTACTTGAGCAAGATTTTTCTTATAACAAAGTCTTTGCTAACAGACAGTCCTTCATGCTGCCCATTTTTAATACCTTACCTGCTATTCAGAGGTTTCAAACTGCACAACAAACATTATTGAATTAAACCTTAGCTGTAAAGTAAGCAAGTCTTATTATACCCAACTTTACAGCTGGGTAATCTTACATACTGGGGACACTTAAACGACTTTTCTGCAGTGCTGCAGAGTGAGCCGGTGAAGGCACAGAGCCTAAAAAAGTCAGGCTCTCGGGTCACTTGCTCCAGGCTCCACTTCAAGAAAGCAAATTTATTAAGCCTGTAGTTAATGCTAAGCTTACGAGCAAGGGGGCATTAAGACATTACAAAGCTCCCTTCCTTCAGCATGCCCCACACCTGCTGCCAGCAATGGCAAGATATTCATGGTGCCTTCCAACATCCCTGCGGTCAGCAGGCAGAGGGGATTTATTGTGTTGCAGTGAAGCGATGTGACGTTCATGGCTTCTAATACCAAGGAAGAGGAAAGTTAGCCAGGCTGAGGGACAGCTGGGGCCTGTTCGACCCCGGAACTTGCAGGAGAGCTGCAGGAAAGCAACTGGGATGATTAAAGAGTAATGCTATGAGAAGCATGACAGATTCTGGTTTGCAAAGTTCAAATGGCACTTACAGGCCTCAGGCAAAAACTTCTTAGCAGCTGGAGGAGCTGGAGGAGCTGGGATTTCAATGCTAGCCATCCCAGGATTCCAGGTGTCCTTTAGAAAGCATCAGTTTTAAAGTTTAGCTAGTTGACCTAGTGCAACCAGCAGTGAAGAAGCTGCTTGGAGATGATGGTTGTGCAGCTCTGGAGGGAGGGACACAGGGACTTATCTTGTCATATTTCCCTCACTGCAAGCCTATTGAAATTCCAACTTTTGCATTACGATCCTTTCTAATTATGTTATTATTTGTCTGTAAACGGATGCATTTCCCCTTCTAACTACCTCATTCTTCCTCTTAGTTTTATTCAGCTGTGCTGTAGGCTCACCTTTTTCACCACACAGGTCATGGAAGTTTCTATTACGTCACAAACATTGGATTTCCATTATTGGCACAATGAAGCAGGAAGAACTGGTGGTGGTTAAAATAAGAGATTTTGTTTTGGTCATAACCAAGGCTGATGATTAACTACAAAGGGAATTGCACTAAATGTTGCGGCTACAATAAAGGGAGGAGGTGACAGAGTGGCATAATGTACAGTTTTCAGTTTGGGGGGGACAGAGTTGTCAACTGCAAAGTTTGGAAGCAGAACCTGCAGGCTGATTAGAGAGACAGCAGAGGAAAATAGTCTGCAAGGGAAGCTTCAAACCCAGCACTCGTTATTCCCATTGCCTTCAACCCAGATTATTCCAAAAACATGATACTGAGTCACTGCCATATTTGGAAACTCCTCAAGGGGAGAAATTGTTCTTCAGCTTAAGCGGGAATTTACCGCCCATCTACACAACGCTTTTGGAGCCATACTCTCACACCGCATTTTAGCAATAATTAGTAACTTACAAAATTGGGGAAACAAGAACTAATCAGATATTAAGAGAAGGGAGGCCACTGTAGGAAATACCAGGCTAGACCAAAAAGGATTTGGGACTTGCTAACAAATTTATCCTTCAAAACTTCCCCTATGCTCTGGCCCCAAGCCCACCTCTCATCCATAACGCACTTGAAAGGAGGTCGTGGCCCAGGAGCAGTGTGTGTTCCCTCTGACCGTAGCTTACTCTTGCTGTCCTAATTCAGTTTTTGTGCTGAAAGTACATTTCTTCTGGAGGAACAAGAAAAGGGTAGGACAAATCCTGGCCGTCTTCCAGGAAGCTATAGTCATTTCAACATCATCCCGAGATTTAGACCCTAAAATGAATTATAAATGGACCAATTTTGTACTGCTTAATGGAGGCTTGTATGAGGCAGACTGGGGACTCCAGGTCTCATGCCAGCTGGGACAAGAGCCTTCAAGGTACTGTGCATTTTATAACACAAGAAATAACTCATCTGGGATGACTTCTCAGATAATTCAAGGTGCCCATGAGCCAGATACTCCTCTTATTTACACCACATCAACCCCAAATACAGCTGCTAAACCATGTGAAGCAAAGGAGGGAAGGGAGAAGGGACAAAAAAAGCAGGTCACAGCAAGGCCCTGCTGCTCTGCACAGTACAACTGGGGCAAATGCTACTCTGAGTTTTCCTTAAATACAAATGTGGATACTCCATTAAAACCTTTCTCAACGTATATTACATAGTGACAAAAAAAATGAGCTATATTTTGCCATGTGAACTTTACAATCAGAAAAAATCAAGCACTAACGTACATGCCGGCACCACTGCAATTTCCTCTGCGCTCTGGTCTCCGCAGCATATGGTCTGTGGTGCTATTCCGTTTTCCGTTCCTGGGAGAGCAGTTTGAAACGAGAAAAATAGCATGCTACATTTGAGTTTATGGGGTATTAAAAGGACTACAGTGAATGGTAGCCAAGGCACAGATATGAATTATTTATAGCGCAATTGCACATTCTCCTGAACTGCCCTTCAGACACGTCAGGACTCGGACGTACACGTTAAGGCCTTTTTACATCCAAATCAGAGGCCACAGCTGTATCAGATGGTGTGAACACTGTAGTATTACTTTAAAATGTGTTCAGCTAAAATTTCTTCAAAAGCAGCCCTCCAAGAATGAGGTTACAAGGTACTCAGGTTACAGACAGACACAGATATTAAGGAAACCTCTCTTCATCCGATTTTCCCCTTTTTTGGGTGGGATCTCCTAAGTACCGTGATCTAAGGAGAGGATCTGTACATTTTTAAAATTTTGGGACAAAAAAAAAAAATCCAATTCTTTCCCTGGAAACACTGACAATAAGGGTTACTCCACGGAACTTCTTTAGCTCAAGTACCAGCTAGGTCCATAAAAACCAATATACACCCGAAAAATGGAACAAGATCTGCACTACAGAGAGCTGCAGTGATATGTTCCATTATTTTTAAACTAGTGTGAAGAAGACCTTGTGGCTCGCAGGAATAAGAACCCCACATTTGTTTTTAAAGGCTAACAACGAACCTTTTCACATGAGAAGGTTCCTGTAGTAGATACAAACTCAGATATCACACTGCTAGAATCACCGACTAGAACATTTTCTTAGGGGTAAAGTTTCTTACAGGCAGGCAGGTTAGAAAAGTAAAAACTAAAAGCCTAAAAAACCTATACACAGCGTTCAACACCTCCAGGTGTCGTTCCCTGCCCAGAGGCTCCCGTATCCAGCCTCAGACAGGCCTCCCGACGTTGACCACGGTCAATGTTGATAGGCGCCGGCGCGTACCCAGGGCAAGAGCGGCCCCAGAACGAGAACTCTAGCTGCCCGCCGACGTCGACATTTACGGACGCCCATCAGCAGGCAGTGTTCGCCGCGATTACCCGTGCCTCTCGATCCCTACGGGGACCCAGCCCCAGCGAGAGCTAAGGGCATGCTTTGGGCCTCGAGCCCGCTCCGCAGCCAGACCAGTCCATGCCCGTCGATGGGGATTTGTTTCTGTACGTGTCGTTGCCTCGCCATACGCCTGCAAAATGAGACGCACCCAGCGCCCTCCATGTCCACAGTGCCGGCTGCCTGCCCAGAGCAAAAGTGCTCCCCGACCAAAACCTAGAGATGCCAGGCCAGAGGCGGATGAATCGGTGCCTATTGATAGGGATGGGAATCGATATCTATCGATTCCGATCCCTATCGATAGGTCTGCAACTTGACAGGCTTCGATGCCTCTCCCTATCGAGAGCCATCCACGCCGCTCGCTGCCCATGCCTCACCGACACCAAAATCGCTCCGAGAGCCACACCGAGAGATGCTCTGCTTCCTCTCCAGCCCCTGCAGCATACTGCAGAAGGTCTGCTTTGTGTGACCTCCAGAGCCTCGCTGTAAGTTTACAACCACGGTTCCTCCTTTGTGGAAGGAGGAACACCCGCCACTCACCTCCCACTGAGCAGGCTGCTGTACTGCTTGAAGGATGCCACTGCTGGGGCTGAGAGCCTGTATGTCAGATATACTGTCTCACAGTGAACTAATACATACAGATTTTTATGATATTTGGTAGCACATTAATTGATTTTATTGCAATATATCGCATTTGCATTATGATTTGAGTCAATATGAAGATAGTGAAGCAGGATGTTATAAAAAGCATCTCAGTCTCCTTCTCAAACTGCTGATTCCAGCTCCACTATATTTATCATTTTCATCATCTTATTTTTGGAAAT